TTACATTTCCGTGGGAAGTATATGAAAATCCCCACTTGGCTACTGTCAGTGTTTTCCACTGTAGCCATTTTAGTTGGGGTTTAGTGGTGGCATGTGACAGTTTTAATTTGAATTGCCATCATGACTAATGAGCTTGAGCAGCCTTTCATGCGTTCACTGGCCTTGTGGAGATCCTCTTTTGTGAAGTAAGTGCCTATTGACATCTCTTGCTGATCTTTAACTTGGCTACCTTTTAAAAAATTGTTGGGTAAGAGTTCTACATATCCTCTGGAGACAGTGTACACAGAGGTATGTACTGGAGATCTCTTCCTGCTTTTTTACTCTCTTCATAGTGTCTTCTAATGAACAGAGATTACTCCTTTTTTTGCATTTGATAATGTTTTCTTGGATGGTTAGTGTTCTTTGTATCTTGCTTAAGAGATCTTTGCTTATCCCAAGATGCCAAAGATAATATCCTATGTTACCTTCTGGAAGCTTCAGTTTTTACCTTTCACATGTAGAACTCAAACCTCCTCTGAACTTGAAGTTTTGTGTGTGGTGTGAGGTAAGGGTCAAGAGTCCTCTTTTGCCCCATAAGGCTACCTAGCTGACCTGGAAGAACTTACTGAAAAAACTATCCTTTCCTCCCTGTTCTGTGGTGCCCCCTTGTCATAAATCAAGTGTCTACATATGTGTGGGTGTTTCTGGACATTTGATTCTGCTCCATTTATCTATGAGTCTATCCTCATGCCAACACCATACTGCCTTAATTACTTACGGTAGCTTTATGATAAATTTTGTTTTCTAGTAGTTTAACTCCTCCAAATTTAATTTTCTTTCTTTTTTTAAGATTTTATTTATTTATTTATTTGTCAGAGAGAGAGAGAGAGAGAGCACAAGCAGGGGGAGTGGCAGGTAGAGGGAAAAGCAGGCTACGAGCTGAGCAGGGAGCCCGATGTGGGGCTCAATCCCAGGACCCTGGGATCACCAACTGAGCCAAAGGCAGACGCTTAATCTACTGAGCCACCCGGGCATCCCCAAATTTAGTTTTCTTATTGAAAAATGCCTTAACTATTTTAATCCTTTCCTTTATTTAACCAAAAATTCTGTGAGGTAAAGTAGTTATGATTTTCATCTCCACTGCACAGATCTGTAAACCCAAAGAAGTAATTTGCCTAGGGTCATATAACTATCAAGTGATGGAAAGGGATTAGAACCCAGATTTGCCTGATTCTAGACCCAACTATTTCAAGTCCTTCATATACTGACCGCCTCCTTAATCCTCAAGCCAGATGATCCCTTCAGGGCATTTAATATGAATGCGTTAGATTTCAAGAAATCCTAATCTTGTTCTGTGTTCTAACCTTGTTTGCCAACTACAAAAAGCCACTTTCCCAGTGAGGCTGAGGAAAACAGAGCAACAAGAGGTCAAAGCTGCTTAGATTCCTTCCAGAGATCCCTCTGCCTCCAGAGTAGCAATCACACCCCTCACACCCAGGTCCCTCGGACCTGGCTCCCCTCCACCTCTCAGCTTTAACTGCCCCCCCTCCCCCCGCCCCTTGCTCCCAACTCTTAAGCCACACTCAACTACTTGTGTCTTCCCACTAAGTCAAGTTCTTTCACAAAGCTGCACCTTGCTCACGATGCTCCCTTCCACCCCTGGCTACCTCCTCTTTTTCTCTGAAACCTGGGGATCACTCACCTTGGGAGGCCTTCCCAAACTCATCTGGGTTGGGCGCTCCTCCTCCTCGGTGCCCCCGTCCTCGTGTCACCCTGTCCTAGAGCCCAGCTGTCTGTTTCTCCAACTAAACTGTGAGGCAGTTGAGGCTGGGCCGGCACTGTCACCATGCTCTGCAACTTGCATGCCGGCTCACAGAACCGGTGTTTGCTACAATCTGAGGGGGAGCTGAGACAGACTCTTTTGCCGGGTGCCATAGTGAATAACAGACTCTAGGAGGAGGCCGGAGAGAATGATTTCTAACCTGTCCGGAATGTACTCTTCGGCAGAAGTGGCGAATGAGAAGCTTAGGGAAGAGATGGATGTACCTTCTGGGATGGATGTGGGCTTTTAGCTGGGACAGAAATAGGCTGGAGTGACACAAGGTCAGGTGTGAAATGGCTGCATGTAGTAAAGCAAGCTGTGACACATTACAAGACTTTAGGAGAAGTAAAATACCATTTAGTACACAAACTAACAACAAGGCAGGTTCTTCTGAGCTGAATTCATTCAATAAACTGAGAGTTTGGTTCTGAGGGTAGTTGTTTCTCTCCCTCACCAATTTTGCCAGTGATGGTTTTAACAGCAGGCAGGGACAGGAATACATTAGAAAGGAGGAGTCTCTCTAACAGGGACATTTTCAAGAAAATGAGACTTGACACTCCCATTTGGGTAGGAGGAGAGACCACCTCAAGGCCCTTCCCTGCTCTGTAATCCCCAGGCTGCTCAAACGCCTCCAGTCCTTGGTGCCAGCCCAAGGCAGCGCAGCCCAGACTATGAAGTCCTTGAGAACTTTCAGGCTAAGTGAGAGCTCACTGGCTTTTCTCATCAAGAATATAAGCTTGATTTTTCATAAACATCTTTCCCAGGAACACCAAGCTGACCCTCTTTCACCACCAGCAAAACAGAGAAAAGGAAAAACTGCAAGGTGTCCAACACAGGTTTTCCAGATTTTCTCAGTTAATTCCCATTTTTATGGTCACTTTATTCGCTGAAGGGCAGAGAAGGGAATAATAGCTTTTTGGAGAAGGAAAACCGGTCTAGTCTGCCACATCCTTCCTGGTTTTCTCTACTGGCTTAGCTGTACTCAAAACAAGGGTTTACTTTTCCTTCTTTCAGAAATTCAGAATCTAGGACATCGCAGGGTTGTGGATGTTTGGAGGACTGATAATCTGGCATGGGAAACACTCTTAATTTGCCAGATTTTTTTAATTGGGGTGGGGGTTTACTGACATTTGGGCAGCTTAGTTGATGTAAGAAAATCTTCAAGTAAGGAAAGCCTCTGTCTCCAACTTATACCTCATGTTAGAAATTGGTTTTCAGAAAATAAATGTCAGAGAGCAGGCATTCATGCAAACAGCTAGACGCTTCTGATCCAAACTTATGAACCCCAAGGACGGATTGCACCATGGGTTGCAAATACAAATGACTGATTCACTTTCTGCCCCAATACAAAAATCTATTCATAACAGTTTCCTGTTTGGGCCGGGGAAGCGGCCACTGGGAAGAACAAACAAAAAGCTGGCGGGGAATCCATAAAGCCCCACTGTTCCGTGGTACTCTGTCTAGCATGTTACTGCAGGGGAGCCCTAAGATGGCAGGGTCACACATGACGCTCCATATGGCCGTGTGGGTCGCGCAGCACAAGCTCAGCGTCGGCCGTCGGCTAGGAGATCGACTTGAAGATCCTCAACGGGTTCAGCAGCCCGTCAGAGGCTGACAGCTGGGGCTGGGTTCGAGTTAGTGAATGCCGTGGGGCAAACCGCAGTGCCCAGCTGGGCTGAGTATTTGCGTCAAGAGAGCGGGGACTGGCTGCCAATTCTGAACAGGGGCTGACAAGTTGCTAGAGGGTGCCAGCCATGTCCTGACCCCTCAGTGGGCAAGGAGACTATGGAGAGGAGAAAACAAACCCTGATCTACCCGAGCCACTCCCGCTTTTTCATTCAGAAGGGAAATAACCGTGTGGTAATTCGAGCCTCCTGAACAGAAACGGCTTTCTGGGGAGCCAGAAGTCCCAACTGGAAAAGGACTCTGGGGGATCATGGCAGGGAAGGAGGGTTGTCAGGTATCAGGCTCGTGTGTGAAGGACCCACACCGGATGGCAACAGTACGAGGACTGCCTCAGTGGCTCTGTAAGACGGAAATGGCAAGAGTATGTTCCAAAGACAGAGTCTTACCGTCTAAGGACGGAGGGACCTCTGTAGACATTCTCAGTGAAAAACTCATGTTAAGTATTTAAGGTTTGCTGAAATCCCAGGCTTTTCCCATTTGTTTTCAAACGAGCAGTGCCTTTCAAACACAGTATATGAGAAATAACAGTAACCCTATTTTCAGGGATATATATCACACAGAGAGAATAGCTTCAGATCGGCAGACTATATTACATAGGACAAGGGAAATGAGATTATAGATATGGATTTATTAGGTGACGGGGATTCCTCTCCCTATGATTTAATGTACTTTCCAAGTTTTGAAACACAGGCCAAGGATGGGCCTGTTCTCTGCTGTGTCTACAGATGGATGGAAGCATGTATGACCATCCCAGAGCCATGTCCGTCACTCCTGAGTTTTTGTCCCTGCTGTTTTCTCCAGCACCTCCTCGTCAAATGCCAAGTGTGAGAAGCTAATGCTGGCCCACTTGTTGATGGAGAAAGTACATATAAAGCAAGATGACTGAACAAATCCTGTGGATACAAACTACAAAGTCTTTTTCTGCTTCCTAAGAGGCTTAGTCTTTCTATTTCTAGAGTTCTTCTAAGTTGGAGATTTTCAAATGTGACACAGTGTTAGATCTAGGTGGAATAAGGGTTTTGTAAAACACTGAATGATGATCAGAGAAAGGAATAACTAGCCTTGTTTAAAAGCACACTCAGCAGGATGCCAAAATATACCAGATCCTCATACAAACAGCATGGATTACATTAAGAGGCCTCCCTGGGTGAGCGGGGAGTCTTATTCCCAACTCTCTCTGCCTATCTTAGACTCACCCCATGGTTATGTAACCTTTAGAATGGAATTTGGAAATTCTTCTGACCCTGCCCTGCTCGCTGATAGAGCTGAGCCAGTGGCTGGCAGGGGCATAATCTAATAGGCGAAATTGGAAACACACAAATTCACAGTCCTCTTGTCTTAGCCCAGAGACTATGCAGGCAAGGAAAGAAAGACTCGCCCCTGTCTTCCTCCTCCCCTCTGGCCTAAGTTTACGCTGACTTCACCCAACAGGCACCTGACCCTCCCAGATGAGCTGGGAGGGGCTAAAGCACCATGCACGGCCACAGTGGGGGTGGAGGTGCAGGCAGCAGATAATATTTAAGATGCTGAGTCTGTAGAGTGTTCAGGGAAAGAAGGGAAAGGTATAGGGAGGCCAATTAATTTGCACTTTTAAACTGAAGCTTTGACAAAGGCTAAGAAAGAGCAAGGGAAGAGAAAGCAAGAGCGTGGTTAGCCCATCCAGGGAGAAAGTGCACACTTGTAATTTGCTCCAGCTTTGCAGACCTCAGCTGGGCATATCCAGATCCCCAAAAGGAAGATCATTCCTCACCCAGGCCCAAGAAAGATGCTGAAAAAGACTCTCTCAGAGGTGACCTGGCTCTGCATTTTCATCATGGCCTTTGTCAGCCCCCCAGCGTGGCCACAGAAGCCCCCAAAACGCAAGACACCCGTGCAGCTCCAAGTGGCCACCTGCTGTGAGGAGGCAAAGGAGCTCAAGGCCCAGATCGCCAATCTAAGCAGGCTGCTAAGTGAACTGAGCCAGAAGCAGGAGAGGGACTGGGTCAGCGTGGTCATGCAGGTGATGGAGCTGGAGAGCAGCACCAAGCGCATGGAGTCACGGCTCACAGACGCGGAGAGCAAGTACTCGGAAATGAACAACCAGATTGACATTATGCAGCTGCAGGCGGCCCAGACTGTCACCCAGACCTTGGCAGGTAAGGAGAACACGTTCATCTACTACTCATCACTCTTCTTGCTCAAACGGCCGAGTGTCTCTGTCTGTACCATGGTTTCTACATATCTTGGCCATCAGATCGATGACAGGGGGTTCTTTGGGGTATATTTTCCTGGGTATGTGCCACGGCTCTAATGTTCTGTACATTTCTATAAATTGGTGCCTGCACCATCTCTTTATTCACAATATGTTTCAGCATATGAAAGATATGAATTACCATCCCAGAGTGCAGAGAGACAACATGGTTTGCCCAGAGTCACATCGAAAATCTTAGAAACAGGGTTCAAGTCTCCCTGATTGGCCCACTTCCTTAGCCAGAGCTGACAGGCTGTACCCTCAATCTCAAGGAAACAGGAATGAACACCAAAACTGTGACATTTGTTGTTCTAGAAGCCAAATTCTGTCATGTCCCGAAGATTTAGTGGTATAAGCATTAATGGATTTCGTGTCTTGTTTGCAAACTTGACTCTTCCCACTGGCTCAGAATTAGGTGTAGATGTTGCCTAGAGCCAGATGAAGAATTCCTTTATGTTCAGGAAAGGACAGGCTCCTCGAGGGTCCTGCTTCTGAGATTTCTATTTCTTCCCATGATCTCAAACAAAATTCTCCCATTATAGGAAATAAGAAAATGCAATGTTGAGATCTGGATTTTCAGTGGCTCCAAAATAAGATACATTTAATGTTTTCTAAAATAATTTTCAGTTTCTAGGTAGATTGGCTTAGACTGGCCAAGGTCAATTTTCTGTTCAGGGAGAAGAGATTTGGGTTTCCGAAATCATCAGGAAATTATTACTTGTAAGGAGAATATCCTATATCTATGTCACTTATTGCTGATATAAAAATTTTTGGTCACATCATAGACCAAGTCAAGACATGACAGACTAAATCACTGGTTACTCTCAGTTAATGAAGAAAAAGCCTCAACATGAAATTGAGCTTCGACATCCCATTAATAAACCACCATGTATAAATCGCTTTCTAAGCATGTACTTCCTGCCCCTCGGTGTGGGACTAGAATAGAAAGGTATCCTCAGGACATTTTCCAGATAAGTGGGTCCTGATCTGGCCTGTGAAATGAAACCAGACCCGCAGGAGAGCAGCCAGCTGGGAACCTGCCCCTGCCACCCCCGGCTCCTCCAGTCGGGATTTGCTCCCCTCCCAGCAGGGAGTTTCTTGGGGAGTCAAACAAAGGCAGCTCTCCTGCTGTGCCTCTTCCTCTTCTTGCCCAGGATATGGTTCCTCATTTTTCTTCTCTATTACCAGGTGCTGGGTCACCTTCATACTGTGTTAGTAGATAGGCCAGCGGAGAAAGCAGTAAGTTGATGCTTTCATCATTATGGAAAATGAAGGGGTTGATGGCGAAGGCACGTGCCTCCCCACCCCCTCCTGCAAGACGCTCTGCCTGGGATGGTTCTTGGCAAAAGTGCTGCCATCGGTGTGTTCTTCTTGAAGGCCCAGTGCAGGGGCCACCAAGGAAAGAATCCCAGACACAGAGGGTGGGAAGCCTCTCCTGGATAGCAAGGGTGCCCATTCTTTGAATCCTATCAGGAAAGGCGGTTTCTTCCATGGTGCTCTTTGAGATTTGCAACATGGAGACCAAATCTGGCATAAGGCAGTAGCCCCTGGGCAGCCAAGGAAGCACTTAAATCACCCCGAGTGAAAACCAGCCTGTCCAGTGCTCTCGTTTGCTTGTTTTAATAATGCTGCCAGGGGAAGGCCTCTAAGCGTTCCTCAGGGTGTGTGCATTTCCATTTGAGAATTGAGCAGTGTTAGATGAAGCGGGGGGGAAATAAGATGTGAAATCTATCTCCCTTCATTAGGGTCCTAGTAGGTAATCTAGATAAAAAATAGCTAATTCTCATAGGTAAAAATAGCCATTACCTCTGAAAAACCACCACCAACCATCACACAAACCAACCAACCAGGCAAACAACCAAAGCAGACCCTACTCATGACTTATGTGGTAAGAGAGGCTGGCTGTCCCAGAAGCTGAATTTATTAAACAGGAGCATCTGTTATGTAGCCATCATGCATTGGAATGTTTCCAGAATTCATGGCCTAGAACCTCAGCAGGATAATCGATTTCAGAGTTAACCTAAAACCACCCGTTTGATTATCCCACTGATGCTATCCAGGTGAAGGGCTTCCCTACCCCTCAGCCCCCCAACCAGTGAAGCCAAAATATACCCCCTTTTGGTCTCCCAATGCCCACCTCTCCAAAATCCAGACACGGCCTAATAATGAACACTCATGTGAATGTCGTGGTAGAAATGAAGTCTCAGTTTTGAAACTCTCAACTGAGCTGCAACACGGATGCCCACCTGCCGTGGAGCTCCCAGGTTTGGATGCTCACCCCTGTGGTTTGCTCCTGTTGTAGATGCCATCTATGACTGCTCGTCCCTCTACCAGAAGAACTACCGCATCTCTGGAGTGTACAAGTTGCCTCCTGATGACTTTCTGGGCAGCCCCGAGCTGGAGGTGAGGTCAGCAGAGCCCACAGCCCAGGTGCTCCCATCTGTCCTCCGCCCCCTCAAAGGGCTGGGGGCAATGAGGCTTGTCACAGTAGAAGCAAAGGGAAACTCAAGACAGAGAATCAAACATACTAAATACAGAGAGCTAGCCACACACTCAATTTGGGGGGGAACCTCCCCAGGCATCATCTGTTTTGCCCCTTCAAATCATTATCAACCAAACACCAAGTCTCCTAACATAGATTAGATAATTCTATAACCTCTACCCAACTAGCTGACATCTCTTGCCACGACCTATAGCAGTTATTCTTTGGGGAAGGAAAAAAGAGAGAACATGTCGAGAGCATATGTGGATTTTCTCCTCTTCTGACAAGATGTGCACTTGCCCCCATCCTCAATTTTGACAATTCTTCCCCAGCAAACCACCACCTCACTCCTGCCGGCCAACATGGCCAAATAGTGGCCGTAGTGAGCCAGCATGACTATGGACGTGCACACATCCGCTGGCTCTGCGGAAATGGGAGGAAGGTGGTGTGGCCCGCCGCCCTCACACTCCTCTGCCCGCCTCTGTGGGTCCCTGACCAGAGCATCCTCTCTGCCACAGGTGTTCTGTGACATGGAGACATCAGGCGGCGGCTGGACCACCATTCAGAGACGGAAGAGTGGCCTTGTTTCCTTCTACCGGGACTGGAAGCAGTACAAGCTGGGCTTTGGCAGCATCCGTGGGGACTTTTGGCTGGGGAATGAGCACATCCACCGGCTGTCCAGACGGCCAACCCGGCTACGTGTGGAGATGGAGGTGAGCACGAGGCCTCGGACCGGAGCAGGCTGCCACACACAACTATGCACAACTCTGGGGGCGCCCTTCCCATTCTTGTTCACTATAGGCTTGTGTATTTATTATGATGGTTTTCCTGCAGATTGCAGTACAGTTGAGGGAGAAGAGGTTTTTTTCCTGTTTTTGTTTTTTTTCCACAAAAGCAAGACTGCAGATACACAAGAAGAGGCTGGACTCGGGCCAGAGCTCCTGTGTGTGCAAACCGTGAGGGCCATGAGTGGCCTCAGAGCGCTGCTCTCCTCTCAAGCCACTCTACGACATCTCCAAGGGGGATAGAGCCAAACACACACCTACACCTTCGAGGCAGGGCCGGGAAGGGCTACAGAAAGAGAGGCTAGTCAAGGCCAGCTGGAGACTCAGGAGAGACGTGTGGCCCAGGACCCTTGTCCTCTGACTTCCAGCTTAGTGCGGCCCCCTAAAGGCAAACACGCAGGAAAGCTTTGCTCGGTCCACAGCGGGAACCGGATGCGCGGCTGCGAGCCGAGAGGGGAGAGTGGCAGCACGGGCCGAAACGAGGGCCCGCTGCAGCTCCCCTAAGGCTCAGCGTCCTCCCTGACAGGACTGGGAGGGCAGCGTGCGCTACGCGGAGTACAGCCACTTCGTCCTGGGCAACGAACTGAACAGCTACCGCCTCTTCCTGGGGAACTACAGTGGCAACGTGGGGAACGACGCCCTGGTCTACCACAACAACACGGCCTTCAGCACCAAGGACAAGGACAACGACAACTGCTTAGACAAGTGTGCACAACTCCGCAAAGGTGAGACTGGCGGGTAGGGGGAGGCCGGCGGGGGCGGGAGGGGGGCAGTCCCGCGTGAGAAGAATGGATTTAGAGCCGCAGAGCTGGTATGCTGGCTTTGGTGCTCCTTTGGGGACACTGGTTCTAACTGCTTAGCCGCTGTTCCAAAAGCAGCTTCACCAATCCTGCTGTCCAGTCTGGCAGCTATTTCCAAGGGGAGGACGAGCTCGGCGTCCCAGCCCCGGTCTGTTTCTCGTGCCAGGCGGCTACTGGTACAACTGCTGCACAGACTCCAACCTCAACGGAGTGTACTACCGCCTCGGGGAGCACAACAAGCACCTGGACGGCATCACCTGGTACGGGTGGCACGGGTCTAGCTACTCCCTCAGGCGGGTGGAGATGAAAATCCGCCCGGAAGACTTCCAGCCCTAAGTGGAGGCCTGCTGTGGGGCAGGGGTGGGAAAATGGGGACAAATGGAGGCTGGGTGAGGGCGGGGGAAGGGCAGGAAGGGGGTAGAGAAAGGTAGGGATGGAAAATGGCCTACAATCACCAATGAGAGATCAGGAGCACAACCAAATTTAAGTACGAGGGATGAATTATTTGAACACAATGGGTTATCACACATACTTCTCAGGGGGCTGGCCCGAGGGGGCTCTCTCTCTGTCCGTGATCCCTGACAGACACTAAAAGCTTCTCCTTTCCATTTGATTTTTTCTGTGAAAGAAAAATAATTATGACATCACTTTACCTATTCAGTTGAAGGCCTAGGTGTATGAGGGCAGAAAACAGATCCCTCACCTAAAAAAGAACCCTGTGATTTTGATCCTCAAGGAGAGGTCTTGGGTGTTAGAGAAAGGCATGAAAGAGAGTGGTGGAGGAGAGTTTTGATTTTTCAAATCTGATGAAATTACCTTCGGTCTACACATTTTTTTTTTTTAAGACAGAAATTGTTCCACTGGTGATGGGCTGAGCCAGGCTGGACTTGCTCAGAGGGGTCTCTGGGGCCCCAGGCCTGGTGGCGGGCCTTTAGCAACTCCCTGCTCTGCCTCTATCGGGGTGCAATGCCGAAAGGCAGAAGTGGGTCTAGGGGTGGCTGGGGAGTTCCAGCAGGAGGTGGGGAGAAGTCCCTCATGGATGCTTGCACAAAACTGCCTTAAAATGGTCAGTCAATACAGACATATCTATTTTTATTTTTTACTTTGTAAGAAAAGGGCTCAAAGAGCTTTCTCTTTTAACTTGTCTATAAAAAGTGGCTGCAAAATGAAGGTGGATGACACTACGGTTAATAATTCATGCTGTATGTAAGTATTTTGCTTTGTAAAAATAAAATACTGTAGTATGTTGTAAACATGCGGAGTTTCTTTTTCCTTCTACAATAAATTCTTCCGAAACTCATTGGTTTTTAAATTATTGCCATTATCATTTAGAGCAAGGTAAAAAGCTTCAGTGAAAAATCAGAGGGTGAGCAGTCTTCAGGGAAAGCAAGGGAGGAGCCGGAAGCCAAAGAGCGAAAAGGTGGGGGACAAAAAGGGCAGCAGCCACTGGGAGAGGTCAGTTCTAGCCTACCCACCTAATCCCAACAGAGCCCAGTGCCACCGCATGGCTTCAAAATACTTCGCAAACCAACACTCTTCCTTTCTACTTGAGCAAACTAACACATAGAGAGGGAGCATATCTTTAGCCATAACAGATGCCAAATAATTTTGAGTGTGAGGAAGTCATTTTTTACTCAATAAAAAGAACCATTCCCTTGACCCAGTCAGTGTGAGGTAAGCCATTATTCTTATTCAGTGTTTCCTACTGTACCTACAGTCCTTGGATTGCTGGGAACCTATTTAACCTTAAAAACAAGAACTCGGGGATTTTCAAAGGAATAGAGTGAGCAGAGAAGTGCACTGAAGCAGGGCATCCCACAGGACAGGCATTCACACAGAAACTTCCTGAAGCAGGCGGGGAGTCTGAGATGGCCAGAAGCCAGCACAATACTGCCTGGAAAGGGAGGATAAAAAGATCAGGGGGTTAAGAGGAGAGGAAGAAGAGCGCAAACGCCTCTGGCAGAAGTAGCTAATAATTCTCTCTCTCTCTCTCTCATCTCCTCTAACCCCACAACTAAAAAACACCTAAAGCTCTAGGCACCAAAGGTTACAATGAACAATTGGGACTGACTCAAACTAAAAAGCTTCTGCACAGCAAACAATCAATATATTGAAAAAGCAACCTACACAATGGGAGAAAAGATTTGCTATCTATAACCCCTCATAAGGAGTTAATATTCAAAATATATAAAGGATTCATACAACTCAATATAAAAAAAACAGTCCAATTAAAAAAAATGGGCAAAGGGCCCAAATAGACATTTTTCCAAAAAACACATTCTTGGAACCCATTCTTGTGTAGGGCTTGTGTATTTATTATGATGGTTTTCCTGCAGATTGCAGTACAGTTGAGGGAGAAGAGGTTTTTTCCTGTTTTTGTTTTTTTTTCCCACAAAAGCAAGACTGCAGATACACAAGAAGAGGCTGGACTCGGGCCAGAGCAGAGGAATCCCCAGTCAGCAGGGCTGAAATGCGGCGGTGCCTGCTCTGGCCTGGGGCACGAGCTCCTGCGTGTGCAAACCGTGAGGGCCGTGAGTGGCCTCGGAGCGCTGCTCTCCTCTCAAGCCGCTCTACGACATCTCCGAGGGGGATAGAGCCAAACACACACCTACACCTTCCAGGCAGGGCCGGGAAGGGCTACAGAAAGAGAGGCCAGTCAAGGCCAGCTGGGGACTCAGGAAGAGACGTGTGGCCCAGGACCACATGAAATACATGTGCATGAAATGTGCTCAGCATCACTCATCATCAGGAAAATGCGAATCAAAACCCCCAATGAGATTATCTTCTCACACCTGGTACAATGGCTGCTATCAAAAAGGCAAGAGGCAGCAAGTGTTGGCGAGGATGTAGAGAATAGGGAACCCTTATCATTGTTGGTGGGAATGTAGATGGGTACAGCCACTATGGAAAAGTCTGGTGATTCTTCAAAAAAATTAGAAATAAAATTCCCATATGATCCAGCAATTCCACTTCCGGTGGATATATACTTCCGGGTATATACCCAAACAAAAAGAAATCAGTATCTTGAAGAGATATCCGCACTCCCATGTTCATTACATCATTATTCACAATAGCCAAGACATGGAAACAATCTAAGTGTCCAGTGACAGATGAATGGATAAAGAAAATGTCACACACACAAAAAGGAACATTATTTAGCCATAAAAAAGAAGGAAATGCTGCAATTTGTGACGACATGGACAAATCTGAAGGCATTACACTAAGTGAGATAAGAGAGAAAAAGAAAAATACTGTATGGTATCACTTACATGTGGAATCTTAAAAAAAACCCCAAACAACCACCCGATTTCATAGAAACAGAATAAAACCATGGTTGCCAGGGGATACGAGAGATAGGGAAATGGGGAGGCAGAGGCTGAAGGGCACACACTCTCAGTTGTAAGAGGAGCAAGTTCTGAGGATCTAATATACATCGCAGTGACTATAGTTAGAAGACAGTGTCATGTATTTGAAAGTTGCTGAGAGTAGGTCTTAAGCGTTCTCACCACACACACACAGTTAACAATGTGAGGTGATGGATGTGTTAATGATCTTGAGCTTGATAGTCATTCCATAATGTGTATGAAGGCATCATGTTGTACATTTTAAATATACACAATTGTATTTGTTAATTATTCCTCAATAAAGTTGGGGGGGCACGGCATCTAAACTTTACTAGTCAAAACCTATAGCTGCTGAAATTTACTCATATTTTTACATTTACACAATTGAGTAAACAGAGAATAAACTTTCCGAGACAATGTGAATGTTGAGGAAAAAAATGTTACCATAAAGCCCACCCCCCAAACTGAGCTTCTAAGTCGGCATCTGTGGTTCCCTTTACCCTTCTAGGAAAACTTGTTAGAGGGAGCAGCCGAGGGAAAGGGGAGAGCAGTTGTTAAAGAACAGGACACCCCCAGCCACGTAAGCCATAGTGTGCGGATTCTGAGCAGAACCAGTACTTCTTTTTTTTTTTTTTTTTTTTT